CTTTTGAGAGGGAACAACAACATCACATCTCCCGGAACTCTGACACCTGAAGCACAAAATGATCTTGAAAAGATCACAGACATGATTCAGCAGAGACAAGCACATCACTTTGTAGAATCATTGCCTTTTCATTTAGCAGTGTTGGGGGAAACAGCACCATTGTATGGGTTGATTTTTCAGTGGGATTTGTCTCAAGTGGACCCTCTTTTGTTGATATAGTGGGTTTTTTTAGCTTACAGGCCCTCAAAAACAATTCTCACAGATTTAGAGATGATAGCTCAAATTATTATTAAGGCAAGAACCAGGTTGCTGACAATGTCAGGCAGAGATTTCTCAGTCATTCATTTACCTTTAAAGAAAGTATACTTTGAGTGGGTGATGCAAAAATCGCAAGATTTTGCAATTGCTTTTTTAGGGTATCCAGGAGTTTGTACAGTTCATTTTCCAGCTCACAGGATGTTAAATGCAAAGATAAGTTTCAGAAAAAAACCAAAGATAAGCCAGGAACCATTGGAAGGGGTGACAGTGTTCACTGATGGTTCGGGAAAAACTCACAAATCAGTGGTCACATGGCAAAATCCAAAAACAGGGGAATGGGAATCAGATATTAAAATGGTACAGGGCTCACCACAAATTGTAGAATTAGCAGCAGTGGTCAGGGTTTTTCAGTTGTTTCAGGAACCCCCCAGTCTGATCACAGATTCAGCATACGTTGCAAATGTGGTCAAACAATTAGAAGGATCGCTTTTGAAACACACTGACAATGAAATTTTATATTCATACCTATCACGCATGAGAACAATCCTAGAAAACAGAAAACACAAATATTTTGTTGCGCATATCAGGGCATATTCCTCACTCCCAGGGTTTTTAGCAGAAGGGAATACTCACGCAGATAGACTTACAATGACCATATCACAGACACTGCCAGACATTTTTGAGCAGGCAAAATTGAGCCATGCATTTTTCCACCAAAATGCACAGGCATTGATGGAATCCTTTCACCTTTCTAAAAGTCAGGCAAAGGAAATTGTCAGTGCTTGTCCAGACTGTCAGCTTGTGCAGCCCCCTTCATCTACAGGGGCTGTCAATCCAAGGGGATTCCAGAGTCTTCAGCTGTGGCAAGCTGATGTCACAAAATATCCATCCTTTGGGAGGCTCAAAAACATTCATGTTTCAGTTGACACATTTTCAGGGGCAATTTTTGCATCATTACATACAGGGGAGACTGCAGAGCATGCCTGCAGACACTTTCTACAAGCATTTGCATCATTAGGGGTGCCACAAGAAATAAAAACATATAATGGTCCAACTTACACAGGCAAGGTGCTTGACAAATTTCTGAAAAAATGGGGAGTCAAACACATTTTTGGTATTCCTTATTCTCCCTCAGGTCAAGCAATCATTGAAAGAACACATCACACCCTGAAAGCCCTCTCGGATAAACAGAAAAGGGGAGAGGCAGGCACAACACCATATATGTGGTTGAACAAAGTTCTGTATGTGTTGAATTTTTTTAATGGTTCTTTCTCAAAGCCCACTCCACCAATTGTCAGACATTTTATAAATAGCACACAAGCAAAACTAAGGGAAAATCCTTTTGTTTTGATCAGAAACCCAGAGTCAGGACAAATTGAAGGTCCATTTACATTAATAACTTGGGGCAAGGGTTTTGCTTGTGTTTCCACAGAGCGAGGACTGAAGTGGGTGTTGGCAAGGCACGTGAAACCTTATTGGGTGCAGACGCAGGTGGACGTGGACCCGAGAAGCAAAGAAGAGAGCACGCAGACGGAGGCAGACATCGACACTGCAGACATCTTGTCAGACAACGATTGATAACCGAAAGACTTGGTTTTTTTTCTGGGGAATCAAGTGTTGTTTGGGTGTTGCTGCATTGTGGGGTTTCTCGCAGAGGTTGGGGACAAGGACATGGGATTCAGACAGATAGTGTTCATGTGGTCCATTCTCTTGCCTGTTGCCTTGGGCAATGGGACAGTCTTTCCCATGAAACAACCAAGGGAAAATGTGTGGGAGACTTTGGCAAAGGCAGCAGGTCTGGACAGTATTTGTCTGACCCATTCAAAACCGGGGAAACCATTCTCAACATGCTTGGTAGGTGTGCCAGTGGAGGAATGGCCAAACCCAAAAAGCATCCTGCCAAAGTTTCTAAAATTTTCAGATCCTGTGGAAGGATGGTATGTTTGGACACAGTACCTTCCTGTGGCTCACTTTGAACCTCCTGAATTGGACATTTTTGGGTCAACAAAAATGAAATTCTGTATCAAATTTAACCCATTGGGAGTGGCAGAGACAGATAATCATGTAATAGATGTCACTCCAAACCAGCTCTTTCAGAGAAATGCGTCATCCTGGTGTAATTACACCAAAATGATGAGCGAACCATCCCTTCAACATCCAGCTATTTTACCAAAGGGAGTGTTTTTAATCTGCAGGGACAGAATTTGGCCTGCTATCCCTGCAAAAGTCAAGGGTAGTCCATGCAGCATTGGGGAACTCTCATTGATAACACCTGATCTGGAAATTTTAAGGGAGCAGACACACAGGGAAAAAAGATCCCTTGAACAATATAGTCCAAATAGTGATGATGATGTTTATACATGGGACAAGGCTCGGAGAATTGCAGTTGCAATTTTCTCACCCCAAACAGCATCAGGGGTGGCCTTGACACAACTGGACCACATGGCATGCTGGTTGAGCAAACACACTCATGCCATTTCATCTGCACTGAGCGACATGTTAACAGATATCAGCAGTGTAAGACAAGCAACACTTCAAAACAGGGCGGCATGAGATTATTTGCTGCTGTCATATGGGCATTGGTTTTAAAGAATTTGAGGGGATGTGCTGCATGAACTTGTCTGATCACTCAAAATCTATTAATGAAAATATAAAGCAAATAAAGAGCAGCATCAGCAAAATGAAAAAAAGTTACAGGATCCTGGTGGGATGATTTCATTAACTTTTTTAATCTCTCACCATTGTGGAAAGAGCTTTTGAAAGTAGCATTTTATATTTTTATAGGGGTTTTTAGTTTTTCTGCTTGTTCTGCCATGCATTTTCCTGTGCATTCGAAGGGCCTTGAGCAAAGTGGCAAAACAGGTGTTTCTGGTTCAAACAGGGAGGGGAGATGTTGAAACTCAAAATGTCCCTCAGACATTCTTGGAGGTTCCAGGCCTTGGTCAGAAGCATTTTAGACCCTGGCAGGCAGCTGGAAACAGCTGTGATTTTGAGTTTGAGCCATGGAATGAGTTACCAACCTTGAAGGTGGAACAAGCAGTCACAAAGGGTTAGATAGTATAGTAGAAGCAGTTACAAAGTAGAGGGGAAAATTTTTTAGTATTTTACAGGGGGGTTTTAGCACCTGTCCAGGGGGTTTTTACTTTGTACATGGGGATCAGAAGTTCTAAGATGGAGGAAAGTGGGCTGATCCTGTTCTTCCTCCTTCTTCCTTACCTCCATGTTCTTGGTGATGCTGGCACTTATGGATTGGTTTAGAGTAGAAAAGCACCTTTTAACATAGGTAGTAGGTATTGGGGGAAAACTATAAAAATGGAACATGTAACATATCATATAAAACATAGCAGCAGACCTGGGCGGGGAGAGAGAAGAAGAGGACACCAGATAGAGAGGATGTCAGGGTGTGTGTGTCTCTGCCTGGGCCGCTGACCAAACAGCCGCAGCCCGTGAAGACAATTTTAGATAATTAGCAATAAACTGCCTTGTGACTGAACAACAAGAGGCTGCAGAGTTTTTCTTTGGAAGCATGGGTTGGAGGAGAGACTTTACCACCACACAAGACCCCTGAACCAGGCCAGGGGTTCCAGCAGGCCAGGAGATGGGCCATGTCTGGAGAGATACGGGGTGGGGGGGTACCCCAGGCACTGATCATCGTGTGAACGACCTGAGACGGATATCACGGAAATGTGAATGCAGCGTTTCCATAAATTTCATCAAGGGATTCACCAACTCCTGACACTGAATTGTTCTTTTTCATCACCAAAAAAGAAAATCTTATTAATCTATGAACTTTGAATGGAAGAAAAGACTGACTGCTGCAATCTTGGCCTCAGGAGGAATTTTCCCTATAAAAACCGCTTGTGCCAGGATGGAGGTGTGTGGGCATAGGGGAAAACCTCTGCTGAGGCTGACTCTGTTGCACACCCAGGGCCGACCCCGGGCTCGGCTCTGTTCTTTCCTTGTGGCTGGCTAGATTCAATTTGATTGCAAAATAAATATTTTTTTATTCATATTAATTTGGCTGGACAAATTTTCATTTATAACACTCCTAAATATAACCTGCAGGTCCCTCCAGAGGATGGGAAGTAACATCATCCCTCCTGTTCTGACTGAGGACTTGCCCACAGGACACTGGAGGAGATTTATGTTCCTCTCAACTCCCATCCATGTGCTGCTGTGAGAAACTGCATTGACTTGTTTGTTCATCAAAAGTATGAAATTAGGATAAAAGGGGGGGAAGTCGGGACATGGAATTTGCAGGCTTGACTGGTAACCACAAACAAAGATTGTGAAAGATTTTGCAGGACTGGCTGGAACTGATAACCGCAGTGGAAACCCATTGTTGCTGAAAACTGATAAACCGAAGTGGAAGAAGACACACCACCCCACTTGTGAAATCCATTGTTTTTGGGACTGATAACCACGGTGGAACGAGACTCATCACCCCCCCACTCATGCAAGATAAAAAGGGACTGAAGAGAAGGAAAGGCTGTCAGCTTTTGGCGGAGCCAGGCTCCCAGCTGAACCCAGCGCTGTTTTGCTTGCTATCGCTTGCTGTAATTAATAAAATTATTAATTGATCTTAAAAGGCTGAATCAAATTATTCGCCTCAACTTATAACACTGCCAGGGCACAGGGGGGTTTTCCATCCCATTTCCTTGCTGTGATCTTGCAGGTAAAACCACAGGTTTGGGAGCACTGGGAGGAGGAGGAGAGAAAAGCAAGAGCCCCATGGAAAAAACTGCTCAGAAAATATTATTTATTGGAAAACTCAGTCAGTGGATGTGCTGGTTTGAAAGTAAACCAGTGGGAGAAATTAACACTGCACAAATTCCTTGAGAGAGATTTCAAGTCAGAATTACAATTTAATAGAAAGATTACAATAAATGCAATGATACAGAAAAACTGGGTTAAAACCACAAAGGCAGAGTACAACCTGGCATCCTGTCGGTCAGGGTGGTGGATGAAGTCCTGTTGAAGTGATGGCTGCAGTCCTGTTGAAAGGAGTGGTCCTGTAGAAGGTCTAGTCCTCCCCTGGGTCCCTTGAGCGGTGCTGGTATCCCAAATTCCCAAAGAGCCCAAATTATATATGGTCAGATTCAGGCAGGAACGTTCAGTACCTCCCCAGGGCAGGGAACTTCACAGTGGAATTATGTATTCCGATGAATCATGGGATGTTCTGGGGAATCCTTGATGGCCTAGATCTCCACAGGCTGAGTCAGTTTGGGAAGACGAACGCTGCCTGCAGGGTTTGCCTCCTTCCCCTGTGGAACACCCAGCTTGCAGCCTGAGGGCTCAGCTGTGCACTAGGCAGCTACAGGGAGTGACCCACCCATTCACAGTTCATCAGGATGGCGGAGATGGGAGGAGACCACAGTTTGGGTACACCCCACCTTGTAACCCGGGACAATTGGAAATGGAGCCTCAAATCCGTGGGGAATCCCAGCTGGTTCCTCATGGGTCTGGGCCTAGGAGGGGGCTCTGCTGGCTTGGCTCTGGGCCCTCCACTCCACCTGGGCAAAATATTTGTCAGGAATTCCGGTGGCTCTGCAAAGGAAAGAATCCATCAGGGTCCCGATGGATCTGAGACCATGGCCCCACAGCAGGTCCCGTTTGCTGAGGATACCGAGGGAGCTGGGAGGTGGCCCAGGCTGGGACACCAGGAAGGACTCGGAGGGCCCCAGGAGCCCAGGCAAGCAGCACTGGCAGCCCCTGACCTGAACTCCTGCAGCTTCTGCTGCCTGAACTGGGCGAGGCGCTGGCTGCGCTGCCGGACCTCCTGCTGCTGCTGCCGGCCCTCGGCAATGAGGGCCGCCCGCTCCCGCTGCCGCTGCTGCTGCAGCTCCTGGATCTGCTGCCGGAGATATTCAGCATGGGCACGCTGCCGGAGCTCTCTTTGCTCCCACTCCAGCTTCTCCCGCTCCAGCTGCTCCTGATGGGCCCTGCAGGAGAGCGGGCTGGCTCAGGGACCCTGCCACAGCCCCCCACACCTGGCACAGCACCTGGGCTGGCACCGGAGTCTCCAGAGCCAGTAGCTGGGACTGGGAGCCGCCTGGCCGCTGCCTCAGCCATCCCTCAGTCCTGTGTGCCTCACCTGAGCACCTTCTGGAATTCCTGGCGGTCCTGCTCCACCTGCATGGCCAGGTACTGCTCCTTCTGGGCCACCTGCTCCAGCCGGTCCTGCTTCAGCTGCTGCTCCAGCTCAGCCTTCTTCCGTGCCTTCTCCAGCTCCCGCCGCCGCCATTCCCGGTCTGCGACCTCTTGGTTCCTCTTGGCCCTCAGAGCATCCTGCCCAAATAGGGGACAGTGCTGGGCTCCCCTCAGGGGCAGCTATGGAAGCCCTTGGCCGTGGCTTTGGCTCTGCCAGCACCGCTCCAGGACATCCCCTGGCTCCAGGGGCTGGTCCTGCAGACCCCCCATATCCAGGGGTGCTGGGGTGATGACAGGGACGGTGGCAGGGGAGCATGTCACCTGTGCCTGGGCCACTCACCTGCTCTGCCTGCCAGTCCTGGGCCCGCTGCTGTGTGGCCCTGAGCTGGGCCAGCTCCTTTTCCTTCTCCAGGCGCAGTTGTTGCTGCTTTGCCTCCAAGGTGGCCTCACGCTCCTATGGGGGACAGAGACCCGGGATGGGACAGAGTCCCAGAGTGTGGGACAGAACCCTGGGATGAGACAGAGCCCCAGGACAGCTCCTGCAGCCCCTGCCCACCCCACCAGGAGCCCGCTGCTCTTACAGCCTTCTGCCGCTGCTGCTTCAGCACTTGCTCATCCTCCAGCCTGTCCTGTTCCCGCTGTTGATCCTTCAGTCTCTGGCTCTCCACGTTGAAACATTTAATATCTGCATGGATTTGCTTTAGTCGCTCCTGTTTCTGCTCCCAGGCCTGGAAATGCCAGGCAGGGTTGGAGACCACCAAGCTGAGTGGTCCTTCCTCCTCCTCACTCAGGACAGGCAGGCTTTGGGCCACCTCCCTGGGATGTCACAATGTCCCCAAGGGACCAGAGCTCTGAGCCTGCTGGCTGATGTCCCTATTCCCTGGGTGTGGCTGATCCAGCTCTGCCAATAATCTTTCCAGCCAGGTGGAAACTTCACTGCACCCCCCTCTTCTCTGCTCCCACCTTCCGATCCTCCCTCTTCATCTGCTCCAGTCGCTCCAGCTGCCTCTGGCCCTCCTGGTACAGCTCCTCAGCCCTCAATGCCTGCTCCTCTGCCCTCTGCTCCATCTGTTTCACAATGTCATGCCGGGCTCTGGGAATATGAGAGCAGAAGGGTTTCCTCTGGCTCCATCCTGCTCCCCATCGTGGGAACGCTGGCATGGATGGGGCTGGTGTGGTTGGAATGGGCCAGATGCCTCCATGGGGAAGAGGGAGCCTTCTGCCCACCTTATCAGCTCCTGCTTCCTCTGGCGCTCCAGCTCCTCCTGGACCTCCATGCCCTTCTCCCGCTCCATTTCCATCATTTTGTCCAGGCGCTTCTCCTCCTCCACCAGTTCCTTGTGGATCATCTGCTTCTCCAGGACTTGTTTGTCCCGGATCATGTTGCACTTGGCATTGAGGAACAGCTGCGGGGACAAGAGGGGTCTGTGGCTTGGAGCTGCACTGGGATACAGGGAGCAGGGAGGGCCAGGGAAGGAGAGGAAGAGCCTGGGAGCACGAGGAGCAGGGAAGGCTCAGGCAGTGCCAGGTGACAGCGGGGAGCACTGGCCCTACCGCGTTCAGTTCCCGCACGTCTTCCTCCTGCTCCAACCTCATCCTTGCTGCCCGCTGCAGCAGCTTCTTCTCCTCCTGCTGCAGCTCCTCCTCCACATCTCTCCGATGGTCCCTCTTGTCTTCCAGTTCTGCCTTTCTCTGCTCCTCAATCTGGGCCTTTTTCAGGGCTTCCTGCAGGGACAGACAGCACTGCCCAATCCTGGACACCTCGAGGGCCCGCAGGGGTCACACTTCAGGTGCTGCATTCCCAGCACTGAGTGGGGACATGTCGGGCTCGTGGGGCCCTGCCACAGCCATGGGCACCCCTCCCCACACCTCTGAGCAGATATCCTGTGCCTTTGGAAGGCTGGCAGTGCTGGGCATAATTTCAGGGATGCTGGCAGTGCTGGGCATAATTTCAGGGATGCTGCCCAGCTCTCAGTGGAGCCCTGAGCCCTGCAGCCTCCCCTATGCCCCAAAATGTGGCGGACAGAGGGAGGGTCCCCTGCAGGAGCCACCACCCCTCAAACCCAGCTGTGGAGCAGGAAAAGGGGAAGCAGGAAGGGAAATGCCTACAAAAGCTGTGTCCTGTCTGGCTCTCAGGGTCTTCAGCCTGTCCCAGTGCTCCACCTCAGTCGGGGCTCGAGCTGATTCCTTGATCCTCTCGTATTCCTTTTCTCCAACGATGAGAGATGGTTTGGGCCTCTCCTGGGGAATGCTGGGGAGCCCAGGGAGAGAGCTCAGTGGCATGGAGATGGCAACAGCTCCCTGTGCTCCCTGAGCTGCCCACTCAGCCACCAAGCCAGCCCAGATCGATTTGGGAAGTGCTGGGGAAGCCATGGGGACCTGGCTGTCTTGTTTTGGGGTGAGGCAGGAAGGGAAAGTGTGGTGAAAGTGGCACCAGGCTGGGATGCAGGGGGCAGCATCCCTGGGGGTGGCCAGGGCATACTGCCAATCCCAGAGATTTTGGAATGCTGCACTGAACACCCATTCCCCCAAAACCCTCAGGGCTTGGGCACAGCTTTACATGAGCTCCCGGATCAGGTCCTTGGTGATGACTTGGATGGTCTTGAGCTTGGGCTTGAAGGAGGGCAGCTCTTGAGCATGTTTTAACACAGTCTGAGACATCACGACAGGGTCGCTGGAGCCCGTGACCTGCAGAAAAGAAAAGTTTGAGGGACCCCTCCCCCTACCTGGTGCTCCCCGGACACTGACGGATCCTGGCAGGAGCTCTGGGCCCTCTGCCGGGATTAGCCGCGGGGTGTCGGGGGCACGCCGGAGGGGACAGAGGGGCCGGGGGTCAGCCTGAGGAGCTGGACATCCTGCGGGTGTGGGGGGGGCTGGGGAGCCCGGGGGAGACATCGGGACGGACGGCCTGAAATCCCAGCGGTGGAAGCTGGAGGCGGCGGGCTCGGAGGGACCGAGATCCTGCGCCGGCAGTTGCGGCTGCCATCACACTGCCACCGCCGGGGCTGTCGGTGCTGTCCTGTTGTCCTGGAGCCGACCGTCACAATGTGGTGGAACCGACGGCTGGGATGTGTCTGCTCCGACTGTATTCCTGTCCAAAGCCACTGCCACGATTTGTCAGGACCGACTGTAGCCATGGCAATGCCCCAACAGCTCGCAGTGTCCGGGAACGGGCCGGGGCGGGGAATTAGGCGTGGTGCCTCAGGCAGGAGGAGCGGGGCTTGGTCTGAAAGAGGCGGGGCTTGGCGCAGCTGTGTCACCCAGCGTGCCCACCCCTGTCCCGTGTGGTGCCCTCCTTGCACCGACCTCCTTAGAGCCCCTACAGGGACACAACACACGCGACCCCCGGCCCTGGGGGTCGCCGAAGAGTCACCAGCGACGGCCCCGCCCCGCCCTACGCCCCGCCCCCTGCCTTTGCCCCGCCCCAGCTCAGTTCTGCCCCTCCACCGCAGCCCCGCCCCTCTCACTGCCCCGCCCCGCCCCTTCTGAGCCCGCCGCTTTGTCGTGGCCCCGCCCCTCCGCGTGGCCGTGGGGTCGCCGCTTCCCCCAGATCGGGGTCCCCCCCTTGTAACCCAGCAGGAGCCCCCTGCCCTCCCCCAGCCCCAAATCACGACCAGCCAGGCCCGGAAAGAAGAGGATCCGTTTATTGGGGCACAGGGGTTGCTCCCCCAACACGCTGGGGGGGCTGCGGGGCGGTAGGGTGGGGGCGGCGCCAGCCAAATAATTAAAATAAAATAAAATAAAATAAAATAAAATAAAATAAAATAAAATAAAATAAAATAAAATAAAATAAATTACTTTGGTCTGGACAAAACTGGCGGGGGGACGGCTACCCGGGGCGGGGTTAAGGCAGTTTGGGGGAGTCCGGAGGGGTCAGAGGACCTGGCAAGACACGGGCACGGCCTGCGCTGCCGGACGGGCGGGGCCGCCTCACCGTCCGTCCTTCTCTGGGCTCCTGCAGTGCGGACTGGGCGAGACCACCCTGATGACCGAGGGTGGGGGGGTCACTGAGCTCTGCCTTTAGGAGTCGAGGTCGCCCGTGGCATCTCGGACCCTGTGCCTCCCGGATGGAACGGGGACGCGGCAGCGAAATGTCCAGTCCAAGTCGGCCCCACGGTGCCCGCCGCCTCTCCTCCGGGGCTGTGCACGGCTCCTCCTTTCCCCTCCCCTCCCGTCCCCTCGGCGCCCGTGCGGAGCCCCTGGAGGCCCCGCCCCTGCGCCTGGCGTCACTTCCCTGCCGAAGGCGCCGGGCGCGGCCCTGATTGGGCGCCGCGCTCAGGCGCCATTGCCCGCGGTGGGGGGGGGGCGGTGCGCGGGGCGGCGGCGCTGCGAGGCTCCAGAAGGTTCCGCCGCGCTCCAGCCGCCGCGATGATGGGCCCGCGCCCCGTCCTGGTTCTCAGTAAGTTCCGCCGGCCCGGCCCGGCCCGGCCCGGACTGCCGGCACGGAGGGCGAGGGAATGGCCGGGGGTTCGGAGCGCCGCCCCGCTTTGCCGCTCGCCTGACTCGCCGCCATGTTGGGTCTCCTCATGGCCGGGCGCCGTCTCACGGCCCGTACCGGCCGGGGCCCCGTCCCGCCGGGGATCCGCTGAGTATCGCTGCCGGCCCCGGCGCGGCCCCAGCTCCCCTTGATAGCTCCCATCTCGGAGCCCCGCTGCGCTCAGACCTTTCCTGGCAGCCTTCCGTGCTCTCGGCTGGTCTCGCGTCTTTCTCAGCACATTGCTTTGTAGTGCCCCATTTCAGCCCCGTGTGAACCCAAATTCTTGGGCCTCCAGAGCTGCTGGAGCGGGTCTGGACGTGTCCACGGAGATGCTCCGAGGGCTGAAGCCCCTCCGCTCTGGAGACAGGCTGGCAGAGCTGAGGGTTTTGAGCTTGGAGAAGGCTCCAGGGGGACCTTAGAGCTCCTTCCAGGGTCTAAAGGGGCTCCAAGAGGGCTGGAAAGGGACTTTAGGTAGGGGCCTGTAGTGATAGATAGGAGGGGATGGTTTCCCACTTCCAGAGGGCAGGGTTAGGTGGGATGGTGGGAAGAAATTCTTTGTGATGGTGGTGAGGCCTTGGCACACAATGCTCAGAGAAGTTGTGGCTTCCCCATCCCTGGAAATGTCCAAGGCCAGATTGGACAGAGCTTGGACCCCATGCCCTGCCCATGAAAGGGTCTTTCAGGTCCCCTCCAACCCAGATCATTCTGTGATTCTCTCACTGTCCACCAACATGAGGTATTCCCAGGTTTTCTTTTTTTCTGTTCGGGTATCTCATTCTCTTCTCCATCCATTCTGTTCTCTAGTAACCCAACAGGCAGACTGTCGTAGCCCACGCCCCTTTTCTATAAGCCTGCTTGCCTGAGTCGTGGTGCTGCTCTTATAAGGTGTTGTTTCCTTTTGTTCTATCTTACACTTCCTTGTGCACATGCATCACTCCTAAATAAATCTGGGCATGCTCAAGCCAGGCTTGTAATAGCAGAAAAGCATCCTTGAGCCTAGATATGCCCTAGAGCTCAGTTTGTTGACAGCTGGTCTTCAGCAGCACTTGTGAGCCTTTTGGTACCCCAACTGCTGCTCACCCTCATGTGCCAAAGTAACACCAGTGGATTAACTTTATGTTCACCCAATTCTGCTTACTGTACATGAGCCTCTGTAACCATTTTTTGACTGAAGACCACTGTACAATAGCAGCTCCTTGGCTTTGTGAGATCTGGCAGATCCTAGTGAGTCACTGCAGTTTGATTTTCTGAGGTAATAGGTCCTGTTTCAGGGTTGCAAAGCTTTGTCTCAGGATGCTAACAAGGAGCTCTGTTATAATAGGGAATGTTGTTTTTCACTGACAGTTTTCCATCAATGTCTATCAATCTATCATGACTGCAGTATTTGTATTGTAAACTTTGAATTTCAAACCAGTCACATGTTGAATGCGTGACTGAGAGGTGACTGCATCCTTGTTGTTTTGTACTTGATTGTACTTGATACATTTTATTTTTTCTGTATCCTTTAGGTCAGAATACAAAACGTGAGTCTGGAAGAAAAGTCCAGACAGGAAACATCACTGCTGCAAAGGTACCAAATTCTCAAGCTGTTCTGATTCTCTGTGTGTGTGTGTGTATTTATGTATTAAAGAGGGACAAACTGAATGTGAAGCACATTTTTTCTATTTGATATGAATATAGGGTAGAAGAAGAAGCAACATAGAAAATAACTTTATATGTTAGCAGAAGATTTTTATACTAGTACATTAAAATTCTGTATAAAACCGAAATGTCTGCATTGTTCATGTAATGGGTACCCTGTCAATAACCATGGAGGGATTTAGCCATCCAAACCCCCTTTCTCCACAAAGTCTGAAAGTGCCTCTATTTTGACATCTGACTGAGATAGTAATTTAGTGTGGTTCCAGTGTCTTGATAATCCGCATATTCTCATTTCCATACAATTCTTAACCATGGCATGTCAACCACAGCAGAGTTGTTGGATGACTTAAATTTTGCAGGGGCTGTTGATTTCACTATGGGAGTTTTTTAGATTTTTTGATGCCCTCCTGTATTACCTCATTTCTTTGTTTCCTCCTAGACTATTGCTGACATTATCCGAACATGTTTAGGACCAAGAGCAATGATGAAGGTAAGAATTTGTGCTGCAGCTGACTAGAAGTGAGACCCATGGGACAGAGCAATCAAGTGTTGGTTCTCTTGTGGTTGCAGATGCTTTTGGACCCCATGGGTGGGATTGTGATGACCAACGATGGCAATGCTATTCTTAGAGAAGTAAGTTTCTCCTAAAGGATTTTCTTGCTTAATAGTGTCAGTATGTGCCTGAATCTTGAGTGACAGTGGAGCTGTGTGATCTCCCCACCTGTCCTGACAGCCAGTAAGTGCTAGCCAGCTGCTCCAAGAAAGGTTCTCACTGCAGAGAAACATATTCGGCAAGTATTCTTGCTCTGCGGAAATGTAGGTTTGATCCTAGAGTGGGATGTTTTCATGGAGTGTTTACAAGACTGATGCAAATTCTTTGGTAATTGGAGCTATTAGCAGCTGCATTGAGACCTTTTGAATAGATGGTGTTCACAATGCCACATGACAAGACCTAGAAATCATTATTGTCTGTCTGGTGCAAGAGCTGGTAAAAAAACATCCTAAAAACTGAAATGCCTGAAAAACAATGAAGAGGCACAATACTGTCAAATACAAGGGTTTGGTTTTGGTCTCAAAAAGGAAGAAAGCCTTGCTGTTGTTGGACAGAATGCTGTTGATTGTATTAAAGGTGTGGTATGTGTTCCATTGAGTGACGTGAACGTTTCTGCTTTAATATTCTGGGACAAATCTATGCCCCCTTGCTCCTACATAGATTCAAGTCCAGCATCCAGCTGCAAAATCAATGATAGAGATCAGCCGTACTCAGGATGAGGAAGTTGGAGATGGGACCACATCTGTCATAATTCTTGGTAAGGAGACAGACTCAAAACACTTTGCATAAAGCCTGAAGTTCTCCCTTTTTTGCAAGTACAGCCCATGATGAGACACATCTTAGTTATTTATTAACCTTGAAATGGAGGGGGGATTTTTACTGTGCCAGAGCATGCTAGGTTGATGACACCCTAACATGATCAGCTCCACGCTTTGAAAAGTTGTTCTTTCCCCATGATAACGACAGTTAAGTGTAAAGAAATGTGTAAGTGATGTTAGAGCTCTCTGCATTGATAGAAGATATATTTTTTCTGGTATGTGCTCTCCTTTCTTGACTGTTGATTATCCTGCTAACTTACTTGGGGGATTTTGATTTATTTTAAATTTTATTTTTAGCTGGAGAGATGCTCTCTGTTGCTGAACACTTTCTTGAGCAGCAGATGCACCCAACTGTGATCATCTGGGCTTATCGTAAGGCTCTTGATGACATGATCAGTATTCTAAAGAAAATTGGGTAAGTATGGGCTGGTGGAAGTTAGAGGAGGGATGGGGACTTTCTCTGCTGCTTCGAGTTGGTC